TTTTTGCAAGAAAGAACGTTGCATGAGACCTCTAATAGTTTTTCCACCAAATGACAGCATAGGTAAATGGTTATAAATGGGGCCTTTTACTGGGTGATTTCGTTGCAAATAAAAACATCATTATATTACCATCACAACCAAAGCTCATCGATTTCTAAATCAGTTAAAACTTTTGAATTTTAAATCATAGGATGTACTTGATAGCCCGTAAAGCCCTATATTAGCAAAAGTTAATCTAAGTTCGTCCCCTTAGCATATAATGACTAGCTTTAGCTGAAATTCCTCTCTTATCATTAAGAAAGATAATTAATAATAAAGGCTTATGCCAATGAAAACCTAAAAGCACATCTTAAAATCTTCGCAAAGTGATGAAGAAATCTCTTAATAACGTCTTCTCAACAACATAATATGGCATCTGAAACTAATTTTTTTGCTCCACATCCTCAAATCAATCACCAGGACTCAATACGTAATTCCCCAAACATTCATATTTTCATTTTTCTCTGATGGGTTGTGGCTAGGGTTTCAAACCGATGCCCAAAGTCATCTCAATGTTGATGTCTAATGCTATCACAACATCAATATTTCAAAACCATCTCAACATTGAAGTTCAACGCATCCATAATACACTATGACTATAGAAGCTTTTTCAGTAACACAAGGGATAAAACCAAAAACCAGTTCACAGAATGTATTGGTCGTCACTCGAGGTATAGCATCAACCTCGTGGAAGTCCAGATTCACAAATGGTGGTTGAGGGGCCTCCTTGGAACTCAATATAGAGGATGCAGAAGGTTTATATGGAGAAAGACTTCCATTTAAAAACTTCTCCACAAAAGTAAACATGGAAGAGTAATCAACGTCTCTATCCTCAGAAAAAACATAGTGTTGCTGCTCAACAGGATCAAGTAAAACCAGGGATGGAATATTTGATCCACCAGTTAGTGAATTCAGCAATCGATATCCACCATCGATAAAGAAAAAGGAACACTGAAAAGGTTGATGTTGAATATGTTCCTTACTTGGCTTACTAATCACGTCTTTCTCAACCTGATCCTCATCATATCCACTGAAACCCTCAACAGGGTCGACAAGTGAAAGTTTTTCAGCACCTCCTCTAGAGCTTGAGCTGCAACCAACAGCATCAACAGTATCTTTCTCCATGCATGTCCCTACGGAAGGCACTTCTTGTTCAAGCACAGAATGTGCATCTTGACATTTTAATGAACCCATATCATTTTGTTCGCAGCTTTTAACATCTTCATTGACTAGGTTACTTTTGTCCCTAGTGTCAGTTTCCAGATGTTTCTTAAAGTCATATTCAGAATCCCCAAGTGCAGGTTGCGTAGCATCATCTGCTGCAGATACTTCAATAGCAGCTAGTAAATCATCATTTTTGTTCACAGAATCTTCATTTGGTGAATAATGATGAAGCTCATAATTTTGACTTCCTAGGCTCGTTACTGTATGCTTATTCATGTCCCTCAATTGGTTGTTTTCTTTGTAATATCGCGTAGAATCTATTACCTGGACTTCAAAATCATCAGATAACAGCTGGAAACCATTTTCCTTTGCTAGCAAACTTATTTTACTTTCTTGTATTCTATTGAGATTTCTCTTGTTAAAAAAATCCAACAAAGCATCATAGACTGCATTAGCCTGAGCATGAGAAGCAGTTCGATCTGACAAAATGCTTTGACCTTTGTTAATTACAATAGCCATATTATCCTTGATTTTAACTAGGTTAGGTGTAAGAGAATCTTTCATCAAATGAAGACCCGATGAGACGGTCACAACTGGGCCCTGACTTTCAGAAACAACTTGTGCTGCGGGACTCAGAGGATAACCATTGTTCGTGCCTTTATTCATCCAGTAAAATGGTTGATATAGCTCCTCCAGCTTCCTAAGAGCATCAAGCGCTAACTTACTCTTTTCTCTAATCATT